TGTTAACCTACCTACCCCAACTGGTGTCTTTTAGCACTGAGAGCTCTAAACTGCACTTTGCATTTTGATTAGATGTGTGTAACCAGCTCTGCTGCTCCAGCCTTTCAAGTGTTCCCGATCCACAGGTGGATTTTCTCCCCTATAACTGTTTTCAGCCACTCCGCGTTTTTCTTCCTCTCATTTTATTCTCTCATTAACTACTTTAATCCATCAAGTTTTCCATGTGTATTTCTGAGGCACTCTCATCCCAAATGACAGCTTTGCCACTGATGTGAGCAGTTCAGGCCATGTGGCAACTTGGACTCTATTTTTACATCTTCTGCCATCCCTTTATGATCCCATCCCCTCCCATTCCTGTTGATCCACCTGTCTCATCTCAATGCACTGTCTGGCTCAAGACAATTTCCCTGCAAACGTTTGTACAGAACCAAACAAAACTGGACCCTCAAAAGATAAGTAGGGCCTTGAGGTACAGACACAATACAAATAAAATGGCAGCTGCTGGATTAACGCAATAAAAATATTTTCCTACAGAAATACTGAACAGTTTTTTCCCTAATGTGCTGATATATCTCCCATGGGTATTTATAGATGCACAGACAGATTAGAAACATTTTAAGGGAACTCATGAGATTCCAGTTCTCCTGTGTGAGCCCACAACCTCAGGAGCACATCTGCCATGGAGTCAGGCTGGGAGAGCTGCAGATGTTCAGCCTGGAGAAGAGAAGGCTCCGAGGAGAACTTAGAGCCCCTTCCAGTGCCTAAAGGGGCTCCCAGAGAGCTGGAGAGGGACTTGGGGACAAGAGCCCAGAGTGACAGGACAAAGGGGAATGGCTTCCCACTGCCAGAGGACAGGGTTAGATGGGATATTGGGAAGAAATTCTTGGCTGGGTAAGGCCCTGGCACAGGTTGCCCAGAGAAGCTGTGGCTGCCCCTGGATCCCTGGAAGTGTCCAAGGCCAGGTTGGATAGGGCTTGGAGCAACCTGGTCTAGTGGAAGGTGTCCCTGCCCATGGCAGGGGTTGGAACTTGATGATCTTTATAGTTCCTTCCAATCCGAATTATTCTAGGATTCTCTGATTTTTTTGGCCCTTCAGAGCCATTCTTTCCAGCATAAGTTTGACCATTTATCTTTAAAGATGTTGAAAAAAACCCCCACACCCAAAAAACACCATAGGGGTGAATCCATTTGCAATGCTATACCATGGAATCGTGGAATGGTTTGGGTTGGAAAGCACCTTAAAGACCATCTCATTCCAACCTCCTCCATGGGCAGGGGCACCTTCCACTAGCCCAGGTTGCTCCAAGCCCCATTTAACCTGGCCTGGAACACTTCCTGGGATCCAGGGGCAGACACAGCTTCTCTGGGCAACCTGTTCAGGGCCTCACCACCCTCACAATAAGGAATTCCTTCCCAATGTCCCATCTAACCCTGCCTTCTGTCAGTTTGAAGACATTCCCTCTTGCACTGTCACTCCACGCCCTTGTCAAAAGTCCCTCTTCAGCTCTCCTGTGCATATCCATTTTTTTTTTAAATAAAAGTAGGACCAAAGGAGTTTGTTTCAAAAGGAAAACTTTGGTTCTGCCCTCATGGAATCCTTGGAGCAGCTAGCCAGCTGTGTGGGCCGGCTCTGAAGATTAATTGTCTCATTGCCTGCTCTTGTTTCCTCTGTTCGTAGCAATATGAAAATGTCCAACCTGGAAAACAGGATTTTACTCTGCTTTCTAAATAGCTTGGAATAATCCAAAAATGTGAAGGTGTCCAGCCTTGATAAAGCAGTCTAATTAACACTGTTGTTGGTATCCTCACAGCTATTGCTACTTCCAGTGAATAAACTCCCCCCCCCAGTAGTTCCCACAGTTCTGAATGCTGCTGAATAAATTATTTTCATACTGCTTGTGTTCCTCAAAGGAAAATTAAAGTCTTGTCTCCTGAGTCGCTAGACAGCTGCCCAAACGCCTCCTTGGCATGAAAATGCCAAGAGACAGGAATATTCCAGCAAAATGCTTTAGCTCAGACAGGGAGCTGTGGAAAAAGCTGTCCCAAATATTACAAATGCGCAGCACTCGGCCTCTTACGTCAATGCAAAGAGTAATGTTTCGGCTGCCCCAGCAAGTAGGAAATGATGCAGGTATTAAACATTATTACGAGAACAGAGACACATTAGTTACTGCTTATGCAGTGGGGCTGTGAATGGAGCTTTTTGTTGGGAAGGATTTTCATGGGGAAAGTTAATACACTTTGTCCAGACCATGAGATGGTACAAATCAGAGTAGTCCCATCTAAATCAATGGATCAGTGTTGATTTACAGCAGCTGAGGATCAACCCCCTCTTTCCTTGGCCTGCTGAGGATTGTATAACATGCACTGCCTAGAAACACCGATGACAAATTTGAAACTGCGTAGGGATACGCTGAACCAAAAGCCTGATTCAAACCCAAACTGGCTGCTCTCCTTCTAAATCACTGAGAGCTGCTGTCTTAAACATGACTGTCAAAGGAGCATTTTCAAACATGGATCAGGATCTGGTGGCTGCACCCTCCGGTCGGTGCCACGCACGCCGCATTCCACACAAACTCCAACCCGCTAGTGCCGATTCATAAATGATGTGTTGGTTTAATCTATTTTTCACAGGGGGTGTTTCAGAGCAGGAAAATTAGAAACAGGTAGAAGGGACTATTATTACTGTCTCATAGTGTGCTCTTGTACATGAGGATTGGATTAAGATAACATCTGGTCCATATTTCTTGAACTATTTCCCTTTTATCACAAGAAAATCGGCAACCCATCTCACAACTGCTCCTAATTTAGATCTAAATATCACTGATGAAACATTGTACAACATGCTGTTATCTATTAAAATGATTTCCCTGAAGGAACAGTGGATACTTTTATATTTTCCAGTGAAGCCAACCATATTCCCCCTTAGCACTAACTAGTTACCTTATAATCATATACTCAGATGGTAAAAGCAAAATCATTTTGGAAAAAAACAAATGAGTCCCCACCAAACCTTCAGCTGGTGGGAGTCAATGCCTGTTCACTGATTTCGGGTCCGTTTACACCGCCCCCCTCGTGATAATGGTTTTGGTTCACACATGGTCCAGACCTGCAAGGTGCTGAGGATCCTTGGTTTTAAGAGGAACTGGTTAAATCATAGAATGATAGAACCATGGGATGGTGTGGGTTGGAAGGGACCTTAAAGATCATACAGTTCCAACCCCTCTGCTGTGGGTAGGGATGCCACTCACTTGATCAGGGTGCTCAGGGCCCCATCCAACCTGGCCTTGAGCACTTCCAGGAATGGGGCAGCCACAACCAAAGATAAGTCCAGGCTCAAATACATAATTTAGCAGAGTTTTTAAGGGTCTGCTTTTACAGACGTTTACAGAGGAATAATGAACAGTCCTGAGGTTTATCTGGGGAAGCAGAAAGGCAGAGCCCAGCACACTGTCATCCCTCCCATTTGGTTCAAACAGAGAAATTGTCCGTGGAATGCAGTAATCTTTTTTTCAGCACTTTGCAAAGTTCAAGTCCCCAGAAAGCAGCCTATTGAGTTCAGCAAATAAAAACTTCTGTTTTCTTCACGAGTCTATAATTCATTTTCATGCACAGTAAATCAGAAAAAGGGGGGGGGGGAAAGCATTTTACAATCTCAAACTATTTTGCATACCTTCGGTGCACATCAGTTTTCCCCATTTCCATCGTATCATTACCACTTAAAACAGGGGAATTAGATAAGCATTCATTCCCTGGATTAACTGCTTTAATTTAAAAGTAATTTCTACCATCTGGAATTACTATTTACCGTTGTTTGGAGGAGGGGGAAAAAAAAAAAGGAATCTGAAACTGTAGAAAAGATCATCACAATTTCTTTCAAAGAATAACCAATCTGAAGGAGGGAGAAGCATACAAGGAATGTGATTGATTGTCCACCGGTTAACTTGGATATTTTGGAGGGAATTCGGAGAATAAAAAGTCTCTATGAGTTATCAGTGGTCAGACTGGAGCCATTCAGTTTTCACCTGCTTGTGTTTGTTGTCTGGCAACCAGTCAAGGGTGCTATTAGCAGAATTAAGCTCCACAAGGAAAGATTACCCTGTAGGAGGTAAGATAAAGCCTGGAAAGTGTGGCTTGTTATCAGTATCACAATAAGGACCAGGTCAGAAAGGATTCAGTGTGGGTTTCATTTCAAACAGGTAATCTCTGCTGAAATAATAGAGTAATTGTTGCTTTGAAATCTTTCTGTGCTGCAGCACACTGCAGCTCAATTTGATACAGATTCTGGATTTAATGGAGAACTCCAACAAGCCTGAAACACATACACAGGGAAAGCAAGAAAAGAACAGGGCACCAGTGGAAAATGTCTTTATCCTGTAATTCCAGGTCAATATAGTGAAACATAAAATATTATTCAGGGCAGTTTTATACCTTGATTTATGTCTGCCCTCCTTCTCAGGCTGCTTTCTATCTGTCTAAAAAGTTTTGGTCTATAAATGTGCAGTAACGTAATACAAAATATTGCAAGAGTAATAACATATGCAATTACAGCACATCTCACAAATCCTGAACACAAGCAATGAATCAAAGCTTTCCAGGGCTATTCCTTGAAATACAACTTTTTCTAGGTTCCATTCAAAGGCCTGAAAGCAGTCACTGGGATAAGCTGCAAGAGGGAGATGCACATTGCAGATGAGGGACAGCATTTTATGTTTTTCTGGCAAAATGCCCAAATGTTTGTCTTGAAAAGTAATTGTGGAGTGGGCTTCTCCTTTTTTTCTTTATAAAGGTAGTGCACCTTTCTCTCAGTCATCTCCTCTGGAAATGTGCATTAACTGTTGGGAGATGAAGCTGCAGTTTGGTTTTTTGCTCTCTGCAGAAAGCGTCAACCAGCAAAATAGTTGAACTTCTAATTTTCATAACACAAAGGATGAGCTGGTAAACACTACCAAAGTACACAGAAAATACAGGAAAGAATTCTATTATCTGTAGGCTCTTACCTTAGAGCAATCTTTGTTTTCCAAGCCTTGGAGGCATTTAAAGAAGGCTCCACTATGATGTGGACTCTGTCAGTCTTACACATTTCCAGGCATGGCACAGGGAGAGAAGCTGCTCAAGGCTGCAACATCTTCTTCTGGAGCCTTTCTGGGTTCTGGTTGTGAAGCAGAAAGCAACAGATTACAGTTCCATATGGAGGCAGTTCCCTGATGCTTCCTCAGTTACCACAGGGTTACCTGGATCCAGATAGGAGATAATTTACACTTCAGAGTTTTGAAAAGCTGTCCAAGGAGCCCTGAGCTTGTAGAGTTTTTATATAATAAATCTGGCAAAACCACAGAAGATGCAGAAAATAATTTATGCACCAACATTTCTAGAAACTTGGGAACTCTGAGTAATTACACAAGGATTAGCACGGCACCGATTTCAAGTAAGACTATTATAAAGAGATGCACTCGCTTCCAAAGCCAAAGGCTCACAACCCAGGTAGTTATCAATCCTCTTGATTAAATGGAGCACAGCTCTTAAATTCTTAAAATTATTTCATGATTTGACAACCAGAGAGGCTGTAGCTGCCCCATCCCTGGAAGTGTCCAAGGACAGGGCTTGGAGCAACCTGGGCTAGTGGAAGGTGTCCCTGCCCATGGCAGGGGGTTGGAACAAGATGATCTTTAAGGTCTTCCAACCCAAACCATTCTGTGATTCTGTGGTTATAAATTTGGATGGTCAGAAGTGGTGGAGCTGACAGAATAAATCCAAAAAATCCCCAGGGTACACTTCACAGAACGTCAATTTTAAAATAGTTCTTTTAAAAAGCTGATTGAGCACCCAAGTTATGGCTTGAGGATGGCCAAGAAACCACTCCATATGGAAAATAAAATCCAAAAGTGCTCCCAGAAAATAGTCTGGGAGCTCCAAAAGGCACAGCACTGGCAGTAGCACAGGGGTCTTACTGTGGGCAGTGCCATTCAATCATATCCCAGAGCTCAGAGGAAGAGGCAGCATTGCTGCTGGTAAAGATTGGAGATGGCACAAAGCTGGGTGAAGGGAAAAACAACAACAAGGATATGTCAATCCACGAATTTGGTCTGGATTATTTGGTAGGTGGAGCTCATTTGTCTATTTATACACCTTGTAATACACCCAATTGCAAGGCCGTGGCGACCCGAGGTCAGTGCAAGCCTGGCTTGGCATTAAAGGCTGATTGGTTCTGCTTGGAACATATTTGTTACAATTTTGCCTTCTGAGCACTTGCATTCAAGTCACTCCAGTCAATCCAAACCTTTCCCAGTGGAAATGTTTGTGCTGTATACACTGGAACACTAATTAGTTCTGAGTCCAGGGAGGAGAAAGGAAGCAGCCTTGAAGGAAACTCAGTGTCCCAGCCTTTTTAAAGTTGATCACCAGAACAATTCCTTGCTGTATCTTGTATTTTGCTAACCTCTTCCAATTACTTCTTCTGCTTCTGTGATACCTTAAAGGCAAAGAAATCACCCCACAGACAAAAAAAAAAAAAATATGGAAAGCTCCTCATTTGTAATAAAACATAGACTCAGATTCCCAAACGAGCTCCACAGAAGCAGCCTCCAGGCTCTCCTGACTCCACTGGAGTCACTGGGGAGCACAAGGCCTTGCCTACAGAAGGATCCTGGAAGGTTTGAGCATATGAGCTGAGGGGGCTGATCCTGCCGACACTTCATACCAGGCAGAGAGCCAGGTGCACAGAGATAATCAAACCAAATCCTAATTAAGTGTCTGAATTCCCAGGGAAACCCAGGCATAGTGAGATGCCTAAATGTGATTGTGGATATCAATCCAGCCGCTTATCGCTGCGGAGACACCGCTGATTTCCAGGGCAGATGATGGTATTTCTGATTTCATTCTAATTTATCTCTTTTTCTTGAATTTGAGGGAGGTTAACTCTGAGGATGATTGCATTACTGTTAAATGCGTTTTCTCAAAGGAAAAAAATAATTTTTATACCTAAATATGAATCTGGGCTTGGGCAACAGAGGGAGAAAATTACTTGAAAAGTTTTAGAGAATATATACTATAAAGTTTTATAAAAGAGCTACTAGAAGATCTTAATGATATTTATACAGTCTGAAGCATAATGACTTAAATGCTTTTTGCCACCTGGCCATTGCAGTTAGCTGATAAAAATACTTGGTGAATAAACCAAAATAAAAACATTCTGATCTCACCCAAAAGGTATGCTTAGCTTCTCACAGGAAATAAGAATCCTGCACCTATTAGATCATATCTTTGCTACCCACTCAGAGCAACTGATTGATATAACAGACATGTTGAATCAAGATGTTAGATCATTCTTTTCCTTCTCTACACACTCACTTGCAGCCAACAGATTTTTTTTCCCCCCCAGAATATCTGTGATTCCTTAGATTCTTTGAGGCTATTCCCTTAATAATTGGAGGAGCTGGCTGAGCAAAAAGCTCCACACAGTGCTGGGTCAGAGGGATACAGGGACTGTCTGTGCTGCTGCAATCAAACCAGCCCAGCTTGAGAAAGTATAAACACGGGGGTGGGCAGAAGAGCCAAAAGTAGGGGCCAGGAGGGAAAACAGCCTTGTCACTGTTATTTCTTCAACAGATCAGGGCCAGGGCCAGGTCCCTCTGAAGGCAGTGGCACAGTTCCTATCAAGGTCAACAGAAGTGATCTTTAAAAGAATGTTTTCTTGCCAATCATCCGAGTCACAGACTAGGCTCTATAGATTTCCATGGCAAAGAAAGCAATCCTTCCCCAACTCCACAGTTCTTCAGGGAAGCAGACCCTCTTCAAAAGAGCAGCATCTTCAGGAGGTGAGATCCCCCCTGCATAAACATTCCTCCTGTCCCCAGTCACCTTCCTTCTCTTTGTATATTAGGGTTACAGCTGGCATTCTCAGTTGTGGGACACATCTTTAAATAAAGTAGCTACTCTTCTCCATTTTCTGTTTATATAAGCTCTTGCTCTTCCTACTCATACCTGGAGATGAGTAAAGGGAATCTGCACAACAATGACTAGAAAGGCAGTTCAGCAGATGAAAACAGCCCCAGCACACGGGGTGTGCAAGCTGTGAGACAGTGCTCACAAGTCACAGGGTGTCTTCATGTTTTGTTGGTGCATCCTCTCATTTTGAGCAACCTGGTTCTCTCCCTCGCTGTGCCCAAGCACAGCTCCAAGGAGAGGCAGCTCCAAGCTCTTTGCACCTGACTGGTGTGAGCCAAAGCCAGGTGGGAAGTGAGATGCAGCCATTGCTGAGGTGTAACTCGGAGCACATGGATGGTTTTGAGCTCACGTTGGTAGCACAGCTGTGAAATGGGCATTTTACACCAAAAAAAAAGTAAAAGGTAAACCCTTACTTACATATTATTAAATTACTTGGGACACAACCAGATGGAGTTTCAGGTCTTTCAAAATACAGAATTGTTTCCTGTTGCTTGTGTTCCTTTGCATCTTAAGGGGAGAAATGAGATTTCATTGAATACCAAGTATAATGGGAATGACACATTTGGGGAAAGAAGTGCCCACATCATTAGCACCAGGAAATGTGGTAGATTAAGAATGTAGGAAGAAATTTCTTAGTAGTGTAAAAGAGAGGGTTTATTAGTTTGGATTACCCCAAGGGGTGATTGTTTCTCACAAGACTGCAGCAAATTCTTTTCGTCTTTCAACTCCCACTCCACCACACCTTTGGGAAACAACTACTTTTCTTCTAGTTACTATCTCCTACCTCTAATATATTCTTACCCTTAAACTGAGGAGCTTGCTCTTCTCCTAAAAGCAAAGAACTGTGTAGGGATTTCTTCAGAATAAATCCTATGGTTTTTAGGACATAGTATGCATAAAAATTAATGAAATAAATAAAACAGCAGGAAGAAAGGCAATGCTGTTTTCTATGAATATTTACTGGCTCCATATTCAGCATTTATTATCAATAACATTTATCCTTGACAGATACCTGACATCAGCCCATGTACTGCCCTTCTTATTGCACCTTAGTGCACCAGGTGTTAAACAAATGGCACTCACCTAAGTGTGTGCTTAAATTTACAATTTAAACTGGATTTGTGTGGATGAAGAGATGGATGGATACATGAATTGTGGGCAAAGCTGTGAGAATTCACCGTAATTCTGAAGAACTGGATGTCAAAGATATTTTTTTTTTTATAGTTAGAAAAACAATATTTGATCCACAGATGATTTTTGTCCACAGAGTCACGCTCAAGCTAAAAATACTTTGCTCCAAGTATTTGTTTTCTACCACTGGCAGCGTGAAGAGCCCAGATCTACAGACTCTGGGCAGATCTTATAAACCAAACCATTCTGAGAAAACAAATCTTAAAAACAATATAAGCAATACAGCTGTTTAGCAGCTCCCCAGGGCTTCCTGGTGCTCACTGCCAGCTCTCAGCTCTCTCTGCTTTGAGCAGGGAGGGCCAGTTTCTTTAGATTACCTTATAGAGTATGTAGGTCTCTCTCTGCCCTCCATGCTGTCACCCTGGATGGCTCTGACAAGTCTCCCTCCTGCTGCCACATTCTTGTTCTCAGGAAGATCTGTTAACATTTTTGTCTCCTTTTGATCTCTGGACCCTTCTCCCGGCACTTTTCACAGCCTCCTGAAAATGGGATTCTTGAAGTCAATAATTTGCTTATTGTCTCTCTAGTGTAAACTTAAATGTTTTTCATCTTGGAAACTATTTCCTCGTGGGTGTTTTTTTTTCAGGTTTCCTAGTGGATTCAAGTGATCTGGGATTTAATAATCATTCTACCACCTGAAATGAACACTAACACCTGCCCACTGCCCAGGAACTATCAGTATTCTGGGATTTATATCTCATAACTCCTTTATACTGTTTGAGCAGTTTAAGTATATGGAGGTGCTACAGCTGACAGTAGATTTTATATATGAAGCCACACTTAGGGATATGATAGTAGAGGGCAGGGAGTCCTACTGGGCACGGAAAGGTCCCTTCCTTCAGACCCTGATGCAGGACAGAAGCCTAAACAAACCATCAAGAAGAGCAAGAAAATACTTCCCAACCTATTATATTCCCCCCCAGCACCACCACCCCTCCAATCAGTTAAAACGGCACAGTTTTCTGTACCTCAAAAGACTGTAATTTGTAAGGAATTCTAAGCACTTGGAAAGCACAAGGGGACACTGAGAGTGGGGAGGTCCTACCCCGTAGACACCCCATCCCTTTCAAACCACGGGAACGCAGCTGCCTCCCTCCAAGTGAAACGCAGCCTTAAGAGATGAATTCTGTTCTCACCCTGAATAAAAATAATAACAAAAAAAAAAAAAAAAAGTTTCCAAAACTGCACAGCTCTCCCTTAGCCCAGAATCCCTCTTTTAAAATCTTCTCTAGGTTGCACACAAAGGAGGAACACGGAAAATAAGTTCAGCCACGGGGGGCAGAGAATGTCTCAGCCCTGGGGACACGAGACCCCACGTGGCACCTGCTGTCACCTCCACCCCCTACGTGGCATCAAGGGAAGACTGAAGAAATAAGGAAGAGATAAGGTGGACTGAATCTCCAGTTGGTAAGAACAGGAACAATCAGCAAAAGGAGCTCTGGACGTTCAGGCATTGTCCTCACCAAGTATCTAAAGGAGAACCAGCCAGCACGTTCCTTCACAGTTGTATGATGGTTACCACCTGTCTCACACTAATTTTATGGTTTAACTCGTTTTAAAACAAGAAAAAACAGTGTTCTTCTACCCAAAAGGCAGAATTCTGGTTCACAAGACAGGTAGTGTTGGGTTTTTTCTTCTCACTATGGTAACACCGGACACAGAGAGCACTTTCCATGGTTCTACATGGATTTTCTGTTCCAGAAGCCTAAGAGAGCTCCAGGCAACAATTAGGAGTTAAAACCTGGATATAGATTTTACACAGGTGGCACAACCACAGCAGAACTGCATCTTTCTTATTGCTGGCCTACACGAAAACCCACTGCTGAGATATTTTTTTTTTTCTGCAGAAAGACTGAAAAGGGGGGGGGGGAAATCTACAGCTCAAAGACTGGGAAAAAAATAAACTGTGATTAGAAAAGCAAAAATACCAAAAGAACTGAAAATATCTGCTATTACTCATGGACCTCTCTCTCAGAAGGAAAGAAAAATGGTCTGGTTACCTCAGACACATGTGAAATCAGCTGGTCATGGGACCTTTGAGATGTCATGAGCTATGCAGGTCAGGTGGGACCAGGTCACTGTCTCAGGCAGCACCCTCTGAAGTGCTGCAAGTGATCCTGCTGAGCCAGGAAGCTGCATCCCACTTCCTAAATCACTGCAGAGGAGATGACCCAAAATGGGACTGATGGCAGTACCTGCCAGGGATGATATCTTACACGTGACATATAAAACTCAGGTACTTGACACTTCGGGTCATTAAAATGAGAATGTGCATTTCAGGTGAAAAAGAACATTTGCAGCATTCCAGCCAAATTCCAACACATTCAGGTTGTGCTGTCCCGAGAGCAGGGAGGCAGGTGGGACATGCACAGCTCTGGGAGCTTCACTTTCAGTTGTTTTGAGGCTCATGATAAAAAAAACCCTGCCAGAAGAACTCCAAAGAAGCTGTACCTTCACAAGGCTTCCATTTCCCAATCCAAACCCAGGCATAACATGAGGTGAGGCTCACAGGCTGAGTATTGTGCTGGGATCAGAGAATCAGAGAACTGTGGAATGGTTTGGGTTGGAAGGCACTTTAAAGACCATCTAGTTCCAATCTCATGGCCATGAGCAGTGACAACTTCCACTAGACCAGGTTACTGGATCCTTGGCCTCTTGGAAAGCAAGAGACAACCTTCTGAGGCCAGTTCTGATGGAAGAAAAGAATCCTTCATGTTGCAGTATTCCTTAATGTGTTCCCTGGCACTCTCCTGACCCTGGATGTGATTCACTCAGCCTGCAGGAATGTTTTTGCTCCATCTGACCAAATAAAAAGTATACTTTTCTTCCAGATTTATGAGTTGATTCAGCTTTTACTGTGCAGTCAGGCAAGCAGGAGAGGCACTGCACCAGAGGAAAGTGATCCACATCCCTGGGAAGAAGGGCAAGGAGCGAGAATGTCCCTGTCACCTGCCATGAGCTGTTGGACTGGTTCAGTTTTACCACACAAGTTCCCTCTGGTCTCTCTGAAGAGAGAAAAGATGGCTCAGTGCACTGGTGACCTGAAGAACCACCCAGAGGAACCCCTCTTCCTTGGAAGAGAGACTAAGTCTAGTACAACAATATTCCTGACTTAAGATTGTTCTTAAATCCTTTGCCTAATAAGGACAGAATTAAAGCATCTGCATTAGATGAGGTAAATCTGGGCTGTGGTATCTGTGCCTCGATTCGTTCTTGCCAGAAGGTCAGTTTAGCTGGACCCAGAGGGAGGGCTGCTTTATACATCTCACTCCAAACAAAAATCCTGCTTTTCCCTTGAATACTTGCTTTTTTGCTCTTCTGACCAGGCACACCTGTTTTCTCTACTAACTCGAATCCCCGCAGCCACGTGTGCCCAGGGGATGGGGGGGAGTGTAATAAATAGCAGAAGCAAATAATTTCCCCAGCAAAGAGCATTCCATGCTTTCTGTATGCAAATTCTGCATAAAAATTCTACATATATGGTGCAGAGCTGCTCTGAACTGAACTCTAAAAATGTTTAATGCAAACACAGCTGTTATCAAGTGTTGTTCTTTCCAAGACTCCATTCAGTTTGATGGTTATCACTATGCCAACGGCATTCCCAGTACAAATCCCTCTTCCTGAGACTTCAACAACTGCTTTACACACAAGAGAAGATCATTTCACCCTGAAACTTGGTTCTCTGGATCCCTCCTAAATGTGTGATTCTCCCTTCTAACGGTACTGAGTGACCCCAAATCAAGTCTAACTGATGCCTCATAACATACTGCATCATAACAGATACTGACATTTAACTAATTTAGGTTTGTAAGAATAATTTTAATTTAAGGACATATTTTATAACACCCCTGTTCAGCAAAACATTGTAGTGCCTTTGAGTACAGAGTGAAATCTCACTGGTGTCAAAAGAGACATGATATATATGTTTAAACCACAATATCTGGTAAAATTCACTGAAGTGTTTTGAATTGTCATAACATGTTATTTAAATATCAGGTTTCAAGAGCTGAGGTGAATCAGACAATTCTGAAAAATGTTATTGTATTATTTTAGTTGACTGGTTAGTTTGCTAGTTCTATTAGCTTTCAGGAAAGAGGGATTTTTTTCACCCAGCTACAGAAGAGTTTTTTTAAGGATCAAAAGTCCTTTAAATCTATAATTCTACACAACTCAAAGGGACAGCACTTCTCTTCCTTCAGGGGTTGATCACAGCATCTAGCTGTGCATTGTGTCCTTGAGAAAACATCTAAAATAACTCAGCAGCTGGCACTTTCCAATGTCCCAGGGACAGGAAGGTCAGCACCCCAGCTGAGGACCATTTAACCCAAATCAGGACCTGACCTGTTGATTATAGAATGTGGTTTAATATTAAATGCGTGTATGTGATTTAAAAAATCAGAGCTGGAATGTTCTTATCCATTTCACTGACTGCCTACTAGGGAGACTTATTGCTCCTTTGCATCCCTGTTCCTCCAGCCTCATGGACTCAATTCCCACGTGGGAAGCAGGGATGGCAGCTTTGTCCGGGCTGCCGCTCCTCATCCCTTTCAGATGGGTGGATCTTTCAGGATCATCCTTCCCAGCACACCAGCCAGCACTGCAGAGCTAATGAGGTGGAGCAGGTCATCTGCACACAAACAAGGAAAGGGAACAGACCTCCTTCCCCTCAGAAGCAAAGGTAAGCACGTGCTGCAATGTTTATTAGTCAAATACAGCATTAGCAACATTTCGAATATCAACTCACAAGAAAGTGTCAGCATTGCTGTTGTAAAGCCCAATCTTACAGCGCAAACTCCATTTTTAGAGCGAATTAAACACTCCCTACACCACTCCAAACTACTCAGGACAACCTCTTGCTCCAGCTCCTCCTCTGCCCCTCATTAGCTCACCAAGCAGCAGCATCAGAGGCAAGTGGGGGGTCACTGATGAGTTGTAATTAGTGATAGCCTGTCACTGGGAAAAGCAGGGTCTCTAATTAAGGCAGGGCAGTTCCTTTCCTCTCTGAATGCTTCCTTTGCTGGAGCACAAGGTGGAGCTATGGAAAGGAAAGTCCAATAAAAAGCCTGATGGATATTTGCATCTCTGTGACTGGCAGTAATTTAAACAGGTTTGGCTCCTTCTGGGTACAGAGCTTTGAGAAAAGCAGGAAGCAAAGGGATATGGGCCTGTCCACCAGAAACCGAGTTATCAACCCCTGACTCCTAATGGTGAACAGAGAGTGATACAACCAAACAGTGACAACTAAGGAGCCCTGGTGTGACCTGGCAGTTCTGTGATGCCCCTGCCTTTGGCATCACTTTTGGAGGCTGTGTAAAGCCTGGCCTCAGGGTCTTCTGGGGTTTGTGTAATTGCTTTTAGGATTCTTGAGTAGTTTGCTACTCAAGAGGTACAGGGATGTGCTGTAGGTTCTGACAGTGATTTCCTAAGCCTGTTTTTAACTCTTTGCAAGGGGATGGTACTGAGGGAACATAAACTGTGAAAAGTAAGTGACTGGCAGTGGAATTTATGAGAATATTCCCAGAGCTGAGCTTGAGGCTTTGCTTTGCAGTGCAGTTTCCCATCAGGAACACAGATGGACTGAGAGTCACCAGCTTATACCACTACACTGGATGTGCCAGATTTCTGTTCCTCCCTCAAAGGAGATGTATTTCTGCCTTTATGGAGCACAAGATTTTAGTTCAGGTGGAGGAGAAAGTCTGTCCCTGAGAGAAACATCTTTCCTCAATAGGTAGGTTCAAATCACTCAACAGGGACTCCCACACACTGTCCCAGGGGAATCACATAAAAAGCAGAGACAAGGAAACAAAAGATGACTGAAAACATGTCACAGCAAGGAGGAAGCCCCAAATCTTTATCACTGGCTGTATTTAATTGCACCTGACATTGTAGACATATGAAGAGATTGCCTTGCAAGAATAAGCTGGAGGAACTCCAGGGGTCAAAGACACAACCCTTGACTTGCCAAAGGCTATAGATAGTCCCGGCTGAGAACCCTGTGAAGGAAAGGGATTAAGATGATCTGCAAGAGACAAAAGACAGACAGGAGGAAAAACAGTTGTTTTCCGGGAGTAAAGGCAACATATTGTTACAATGAACATGGAAGATTCGAAAGTTCAGGAAGGACTCACAGAATCACAGAATCATTAGGGTTGGAAAAGACCTCTAAGACCTCATCAAGTCCAGCTGTACTTGTTTGAGTACAATCCACATTGACATCCATGACATTACACCAGGCACCATCCCGATGGACTGCAGAAAAGGGCTTTTAAATGAACTTCTCAAAAAACCTTCCAAGCAAGGCAAAGAACAGTAAGTGGAAGTTTAGCTCATTAAGTAAGCAGCGAAGGAGGGAAAATCTGGTTTTGTTGAGCTCTGGAACAATTTTTACAGAGAACACGGTTTTTAGTCTCACACAGAGGGTTAACAGCCTCTGGGAAGATGGGCTGAGAATCTCTTACCAAACTGTGTAAAGGGAGGTTGAAAATGGGATAATCATGAAACTGTATAGTGGGGAGGAGCAGAACTACCTCCTTCAACAGAAGGGCACAATTTTAAGTCAGCTCAACTGTATCACATAACTTTATCCTCAGATTTCCTAAAAGGGGAGGAGGAAAACCAGAATTTTAGGTGGCGTGGATTAGTCTAGAGATTTCTGCCTAAATTACAAAAGGAACCTCATGTGATTGCAACTTAACCATAACAAGAAGTTAGAGTCAAGTCAATGGTTTTACCTTCTCCAGGCTGTCTCACTGCAGCTCTGGTTTAGAGAGACTAAAACTGTTTGGACACACACTCTGATTTAATCACAGGCTGATTTTTGATGAGCTGGGAAGAATTTTCACATTCTGTTAGTGAAGAATAGCTGAGGATAAAATAATATCCTAAACTGGCACAAAGAGACCTAGAAGACAATGTCTAAAGGCCCTTTAAGGTGTGGTTTGAGGGAGACTAAGCTTAAAAACCTCTGTGCTGTAATAGCAGTAGAAGTAGTAAAAAAGAGGTGTAAGAAACCTCCTTTTCTTTCCTTCTCTCGCTGAACAAGGAATGATTATACAGTTGAAACCTGGGGATAAGTCAATTAACCTGAATGTTGAAAGCAGTGGTTACATCTCCTTCTCTAAAGAAAGGAGAAAACAGAGGGTATTTGGGTTTTTTGCGGACACTGACCTGATAGGTTGTCAGAGATTGTACAGGAACACAAAGCCTGAAAGCTTCCAAAGGTCTAAGTGAGCAGTAACGTGCATCCAGGTGTGAGAAAACCTGTTTTCAAGTCTCAGTCTGTAATGGATAGAGAGCAAAACTTTATTACCATGGATGGGTGACTTGGCCATTTTAACATATATTATAACAGGTAGGTTTTGCCAGCAGGATGGGAGAGCAACTTGGAAAGAAGTGAGGATTCAAGGGGTGATGGACACACACAAATCTCTCAGATGCTGTGGCAAAAAGAGGTTCATTTGGTAAAAGATGTCTGTGAACAGAGATGCAACACTGCCTCTGCACACAGACGAGACATCTGTTGGAGCAGCTGCTTTATGCCCATGCTTTGAAGGAGGTTTGGATATTCCAAGTATTCAAAGAAGGGTTACAAAAAAAAATTCAGATATTGCAAAGGAAAGCTTATATAGTATGAGGCTTAAGGAGCTCAGTCTGTTGAGCTTAACACGTGGAGATGCGACCTGAGAACCAGGAACTTCTTGGTCTAACAGAAGTATAGCAAAATCCTGTGGCTGCATGGAGTGGAGACAGCTGAATTCAACTCTAAAATAAAAAGCCATTTCTTTGTAATAAGCATTATTAAATATTGGAATATCTTAGTACAGACTTTGGCTGACTTTCTTCTTCTGAGCCTTTAAGTAAGACTTTAAGATACTGTTCTAATTTAACAGTTTAATGCAGCTTCCAGAAAACACTGTGTGGCCTATGGAAACAGGGGTTGGAAAGAGATGATCAGTGGGGTGGTCCCTCCTGCCTGGAGAGCCCATGTACAGGTAGCAGGTACTCCTTTGATAAAATAAACAAAGACCTGCTTTAAAAGCCAGAGTGTAAACTGATCTGACTGATGTGGTCTGATGCAACAGACTCAGCTTTATTGGATTAACCAGCAAACTTTATCAGCTTCCCAAGAGTCCCATGAAAACATTGAGTGCCCACCCTTTCCAGACTGTTGCTTAAAAAAAAGGACTTGAATATAAGCAACGGCAAAAAAGGTGGATCAAGAGAGCAGGTTGTTAATCTTTCTGCACAATAGCTAAAATACTTGGTCTGTGGATGTACATTCACAGGTATGAAGCCAATATGAATCCGTTTGTAAAACTCTGCTGCTCCCTGGGTAGAAGAACAACCATAGAATCAGAGAATTCCAGAATGGTTTGGGTTGAAAGGGACTTTAAAGATCACCAAATTCCAACCCCTGCCATGGGCAGGGAACCTGCCAACCCCTTGAGTTAAGCAGAAAGGAGCAAAAGTAAAATGTGAATAAAACTTGCCTGTGCTACAATAACCAATCATTTACATCACTTTGAATCTGTGAATAACAGACAATTTGTAAGGAGTCAGGAGCACAATAATTTGCCATGGTTTTAAATTCACTTGCAAGAGTCCACACCTCTTCTGGGAGACTTTTCAGAGTCTGTGAGCTGAAATGTTTGGAACCCTCCAGCATCAATTTTCAGAAGGCAACAAATTCGTTTGGATGCCTTAATTTTTAACACCATCCTTGTGATTTTTTTTTTTTAGGAGACAGATCAGTAGAAATATTCAAAGTGTCCTGAAAACTACACTCCTCTGAAGAAGCTTAAACACAAGAGAATTTTAAAAATTAAAAAAAAAAGTTACTTTTTTGTCCCAGCTACTTGTCTGTTTGTTCTCCTTTTCCTTTTCTTCCTTTGTTTTTTCTGAGACCTGTGAATAAATCAGAAATGTTGTCATATTGTATTTGACAAGCAAGTTCTCTAAGAATGAAGAATGACCCCACAAAGCAAGGTGCAAAATCCCTAACAAGTGGCTCTCCTTAGGGCTGGTCCATGTGCACTCTCAGCTATTCTCCAAGGAGGCAGGATTGAAGATTCCTGCATGCACAACACACCATGTGGGCTCCCAGCCTGCAGAACAGCTCCCAAAAGTAGATTTTGATGGGTCAAAGCCATTTTATTGAATTAGCCCTTTATTGTTTACATTAAATCCAAGTGAGCTCAGAAATACTGACTTATCCTCCTGAAAGGCTGGATTATACCGCGTGGCTCGGATGCAAAAAAAGATTAGGGCTTTTATACTAATTACTTCCAGCATGAGGAGTGCATGGACAAGAAGAGAGCTGACTTTGGAGACACTCTGCTGGGCACTTCAGAAGTATTTGTCAGATTTTTTTGGTCAGATTTGTTGTCTTCTTTTCTTGCCAGACATAACAGAGCTTGGAGTGCCACGCTGTCATTAATCCCTGCACAGGAGAAGTGCCATGTGTGGGACACAGGGTGGGAACAGCCCTTTCCACTTGTTTCTGCTTGTTTTATCCACTCTCCCCATGTCACTGGTGCTGTGAAGTTCAGTGTAGCATCACTTTCTCCCACTCTGCATCTCTTGTAGCATCACTTCTTCCCGTGCTACATCACTCTTGGAGAAAGTAAGAGACTAGAAAGAGATTATCTCATTATTACTAAGTGAGTTTTCCTTCATTTATACTTAATCAGCCAAGTAATCCAGCAGGATGCAAAGTTTCCCAGGCTGCAAAACCCGAGGTGTTTTCAGCAGTCCGAAAAATCAGAGTGGGATGTGGATGTGAATATTTTGGGAACTGGACACGTCAGATCAGTGTCATTGCTGTAAATTACTGTAAATCTCCAATGCTGCCATCACACAGATACAACATGGGTAAGACTCTCTCACATGTGTGTCCTTCCCTAAATGAACCCTCTTATTTCTCATAATCAAACAGGCACCTGTCCGTGCAGAACAGACATTCAGCTTTTGTGGCCGACAAGGGAAATCAGAACTATCAGGGAATTCAATAATTTGTATGGGCAAAACAGATGGCCCAGGAGTGCCCACAGCTTTCACTGAATGACTTTGCACGCAGTGACATCACATCTTCTCACTCCACAAATTACTCCTTAGGGCCTGGGGTCTGCTGGTATTTGTTTGAGTGATGATACTCTGTGTAGTTTGTGAGACAGAACAAACAGGAGGCTTAAATGTGCCTAAAGATTTGTGAACTGCTGATCCTACAGAAAGGACACCCTGTGTTGCTTTTACAATGGAACAACGTGGATTTTTTATGGTTGCCCTTCTATCTTGAGCAAAATGTTTGTGCCCAATCTCTACGTTACAGAAATGCACAGACTTTTCCACTCACACAGCTGTGATGAGGAAGGTAAAGCTCACAAAAGGGTCTTGTTTTAAATCTTGCATTCAATAAACTGCTAGAAGAACAAAATGAAAACAAGCTATTGTGTTAATCTCCAGATTAGCCCTCATAGTCTGTCAATTTAATACTGATTAGTAAACAATGTCCATAATTAAGCTGTTGTTGGAGACACAAATGCCCCACGAGCCCGAACTAATGCGTAGTATTCAATCCTTTTACAAAGGATGGCAGATACAATTCCAGGAATGTTAATGCTGTCAAGTATCCATGATGTACATAACAAAAGAGAAGGCAGAGAGTTGAGGTAATTAAGCTCACACTAGACCTTCTCTCCAACCTGTACGTGTTTATTGACTAAATGTTATTAGGTGCAGTAAATAAAATGCCACTGAGTCGTGGGACCAAAAACGGGACGAAGTTTATGGGGCCGTCAAACTCTGGATTCCCCTGGCATCAAAGCACACACACCCCCTTTGCTAAGGCCAGTGACATTAATGTGCATGACAGGGGTCCATGGGGCCGTGGTCCCCTAATTGTTTAGGAGACCTTTTAGTCTGGTTGCAGACTGCATGTCTTGGTATTTGTGGAGCTAATTGCACTAAAATCCGCCAGCACAGTGTTTGCAGTGATGGGTTAACTCATTTATCCTCGGGATAATACTCAGCTCTTTGTCAGCCTGGTCTCCCGCGTTCACTCCCGACTGTCACCCCAGATGTGGAGGAGGAAACAGGCTTCCAGCAGTGCTGCCCATGGAAACGCCCTGACTGCACATGTGCAAGAGCAGAAACATTGAAATGGGAAACAAAACCATTTTCCTGAGTGTTTCCATTACTGGGACCCTGTTCTGCTTTTCTCATGAGGGTCACAAAGCCCAGTGTGGAGTTTAGACCCCGATAAACTCCAACAGCTGGCACAAGCAGAGATGTTTGGCTGGGCTCCTCTCACTTTATTCTTCCATACTGAATCTTGTGGATCTTGGGTTGGAATGAGATGATCTTTAAGGTCCCTTCCAATCCTAACCATTCCATGATTCTATGATTCAGTTTTGAACTAGTCCTGTGCAGCACAGCCCAGACAGGGTAATGCTCTGGGTTCCTTGTGACATCCCTTTATTCCCCCTCAAGAAAAAAATCAAGGTGGAAATAATTACAAGCAATCTTTTGGTTTGATTTCAATATTTTTGAATTGCACTAGTTATATCTGAAAAGTGACAGAACGCGTACAAATATTTTTTTCCTAACACGGACTCTAATACTTACAAACTTCAGAGTGAAAGGAATTAAATGTTCCTTTGGACATTTTTCCAGAGTCCTGGATTTATGGTATCTTTTCAGACTTCTTGCCCCATGTTTACAAACATGCAAATAACTAACAAAATCATAATTGTACCAATTCAGAAGCACTTTCTGCCCAGGGATCTCCAATGTCTTGGCTCACACAGTGTCACCGAGCAAGTTTCCTATGGGATGGAATGTATTGATAGCCCCACTGTACAGTTTGGACATCTGCAAATTAAATTGTTTTGCCAAAGGTCAGAAAGAGCATAAATTAGTGGTAGAACTGGGAAAAATACTCAACAGTGTCTTCCCCACTCTCCATCCCAGGCTACTCATGGAAATGCAGAACAGCACTGAGTGGCTTCCTGTTTGGACATGTGGGTTTGATTAAGGCAGGCCACAAGTTCCCAGAATTTTTGGCCAGGTGGTGACTTCGCTTTTGGGTGTTACAGAAGCACAGCACCTCTGCCCTTCCCTCCTGCCACAGTGCAAACCCCCCTGCACACAGGGAGCAGCCCTGCCTCATCCACAGAATGGAGAGGGGAGGACATGGGATGGGAATGTGCAAGGAGAGGTGAGGGGTAGCACCAGACCACAGCACACCAATTTATTTTGGCTTAGACCGCTATGGAATCACAGGCTCAGTGGAAAATGCTCCTTCTAGAAAAAGAGCCAACCAGCCAGTATTCCCATCCCTTGAGCAGACTCACAACTACATTACTGAGGCACAGTGTTGTCCCATATTTTAAACGCCTCTCCAACACCCAAAAAGACTTTTTTCCTTACACAAGGAGCAAGACTTGCTCTGTCTTCACAAAATCTACAGGGAAAAAAAAGCTACAGGTTTCTGCAGCAGCTCATTTGGGGTGGTTTTGTGGATGTAGGAGAGATGGCATGAAGTACACTGGAGGCAGAAAGTGTCACTGTCACAACAAGCCTGTTGGGCAGCCAACCAGGGTCAGTGTAATGTTCTCAGAGTACCTTCAGTGTGCCTGGAAGTCACTCAGACCCTGGGGAAATGTGGCCTTGCCAAGGAGTTCAGCAGTCCCTGAGCACAGGCTTCCCCAGCCTGAGCCTTTCCAGAAAGCTGCTTGTCTGCCTCACTCACCCATCCCGAGCTGTCAGAACAGGAGCAGGTGAGACAACAAAGCACAAAAACACAGCTCAAATCTCTCTGGGTCACACGGTGGAACTTCAAAGGGAACAGAGGCAGCAGCTGACAGAGAAGGAAATTTGGGGTTGGGACTGAAGTACAGAAGTGAGAACTAGAAAGTATAAAAGTTTTTCCCATTTGACACAGGAAAGTCACACAAGAGGCTGCCAGAACTTTACTGAGCCATGCGGGAGATTAATAGAGGAATAACCTCCTTTTCCACTTACTGTCCTGCTTACACTGGGAAGGACTGTTTAGATGAAGATTGAGTTCTGCTGAAGAAAGCATATTTGCCAAATTAACCCCATTTTGAACACATTAGCAGAAAAATAAAAGTAAGGATAAACTGTAGTCCCACTTCACATTTCAAGTGCATCCGAATGAAACAGGAACTTCTCATTGCTCAGCAGGAAAGAAATATGTGCTTGTCCCTGGTTTCATAAAAGAAATGGAAGTTGATCTCATATTTCCCCTTATTGTTTTAATTGTCTCACCATACTTGATTACAATTTGCAGACAACTTGGGGGTACTTAGATGAGAGATGCAACAGAAGCACTCACGTAGTGTATTTTAGAAAAATATTTATCCCCTTTCTATATAAGAATATGGACAGGCACATGAAAATTGCTGTCTCTTTTTCCTACCAGCCACAGCCAAGAGCTAATGATTCATATGTAAAAGCAAAAATGCCATAATGCACTTAACCAGATGTGGAAAGCTGAAAATGGAGGTGTGAGTGGATAGCTGTCCTTAGCTCCTCAGTGTTGCAGTCATCTCTTTCCTTAAGACCTGGAGTGGAAGAGCTTGAAACTTCTCCACACCAAACAAAGACAGCCCCTCTCGGTAAGAGAGACAGCTCTTTATAAAAATAAATCGTTAGCTGGAATATTCTCTAGGCTGGTTGAAAGCTGGTTGAAAATCTGCTCTTTAACATTCACAGAGCTTTGGTACCACCCAGTGCACCAAGAGGCAAATAATTACCTGAAGCACAACTCACCAAGACACACCCCTGAGCTCCTCAGGCCAAATCTCAGCACAAGAGCAAATTGTGCCAACAGCAGCTTTTTCCTGACTCTTCAAC